ACATCAGGTCGCACTTACAGAAAACGGAGAGTCTAATGGTAGCCCGCATGGGCCTGTCTATGGGTATTGCCTCGTGGCTAGCCTCGCAGGTGTAATCCATCCCATTATCGTCCGCCGTAGGCACGATGGTAATGGAACCATGAGTGTCGTACTTGAGCAATTCCCTGGACGTCTCTCCGGGCTTCGCATCCTTGTCTGCAACATTGTACGCGCGCAAGCGCGAAATAAATATTATACGAAATGCGAATTGAAAAGTGGCATCTGCTGTTACTTTATAGCCGTGAAATTAGCGGTTTTCTTTTAAGAAATCTGATCAACTTGCTTCTTAGGTGATTATTTAAAATTAGTTAGATTCAATCTTGACCTCGATACATGTTATCAGTGATTAGAATAGCTCCGATATATTCTGATTAATTTGAAATATACGAAATTATTTTTAGAATAATAAATTGTATTTATTATGACGGATAATATTTTATTCAGTTATAGTTGTAAAACTATAATACTGTTTCGGATATCATTGTAATGTAAATGTATTGTATATTTATATTACGCGACTGTTTCGTACAATTGCGAACTTGCAGCAAGATCATGTGCCAGCATTGCATACTATTGTGATTAGCGCTTTGCAAACTATAAAGCGAATATTCTGTGCGTTGCGTATGAACTCGTGTGCGTTTGCAAGCGCACATTATTAAGCGCTTGCAAACGCACACAATACGATATTTCGTATCTATTTAATTAATTTCAGATCCAAGTAATAAAATTTTATTTATTATTACAAATATTAATATTATAATTAAATTATGTTATAACTCTTTTCGAATATTAATATATAAAATATTTTTATGTTTTACAGATAAACTTTGTGCGTATTCGGTGTTATAAAACGTATTCGTTCCGTCGTATAATAAAACGTGCGTCGGGAGTGCCGTTAATGCCGAGGGTGTCATGGTAGTTTTCGCGCGAGTACGAAACACGTATTCTGGCGAATCATATAGACGAACGCACCATAAATATTGAACGCATGATAAATATTGGGACACGATCGAACCTCTTTCGGCTTCAGGTTTTCCTCTCGACTTTGGGCTCGGCTCGGAGGAGGAAAGGATCAGCTTTATCATGGGATCCCGATAAAACCGTGGATCCCTTCAGTGTCAGACGTGTCAACATATATCATGCCGGAAAGCATGGGGTTGCTTAATTGCAACTATGAAACATGATTTGCGGCATAGAAGTCAGCCCAGCGACTTCGTCAGTTCCATTTGTTAGACATTGAAATGCTGCTGGGATACCACACGCTATCCAGTTGACTCCATGACTAATCGCCCCTTACTTTCTTCGAGCTTATGCTTTCAGCTTTGAGATAATCGTGCCCCAATTGGTAAAAGCGATCGTCTGAAACGTGGGCGGGATTCGAGCGTCACGTCGCATCTTGGACAATTTGATTCGCTTGCGACGTCGGGAGTGCCGTTTGAAGTGAGTCGCGCGATTTTCGTATTCGGGTACGTGCGCGAGCAAGGCGTGCGCCGCGAAAACGTGTGTGAGTGTCTCGAAGGACTGCTGAAAGGAAAAGGAGGCCTAGGACACACCTCGGGCGACAGTAGAGCAGCGATGCGGTAAGTGATTTATCTAAAAAATGCGAAATAGCAAACAAATATCGGCCGCTTACTTTTATAATTCTTTTTCGATTATTTTTATTTGTCGTATACGATAAATAAATAAGTGCGCGATATATCGCGCATTTATGGCTGAAGTATTCGTATTTATGGAAAAATTAACTTGAACACACGATTTGGATTTTTGATTGAAACCTGAAGAGATTTTAATCGTTCATAATTTGTATATGAAAGTGTACAAGGTGTTCGAATTAATTGAGACTCGCCAAGGAAGTTGAATTATTCATAGGCGGCGCATAGAAAGTACACAATTTACATTAAAGTCAAACGCGACATTATAAGGTGATACGTGCGTTCGCGGCGCACTCCTTTTTATATTTGAGCTAAAAGCTCCGGACAAGCTTTTATACGCGAAAGCGCGACTCGTTTTACGCGTCGCGGTCCACGCGGTGACGGTTTCACACAATTTTCGGAAACGTGTCGGATACAAATGCTCTCGGCTATCAAAGATGACGTGGTTTGACGGCATGCATCCGGAGAAAGATTGCTGTTGGAATGACGAGCGAGATGCGAACATCGTAATAAAGAAAACGACGACGCACTGTTTTTTGCGGCACTCGTATTTTGCTGCGAAAGCGCAAATAACATTAGCACGAGTCATCAAATAGATTTATGGCGAGCATTAAAATGATTAAGGTATTTATCGTTTCCACTTCTTGTGGATAAAATCAAAGTCAAATATAACGTTATACAATGTTAGATAAAATATTGTAATACTAAATAATCCAATTTTTATTCCACAAGTGAACAAAAAAACTTTTATATATCATACCTAGACACCAAGATAAGTTCATAGATAAATCCATAATAACGTATAAAAGTGATGTCCATTAGATTCATAATGAGATTTAAATATTATTTCTCGTTTTGAAAACGTATCGTAAAATGCAATAAAATTGACGTCTACGTTGAACGTCAGGATGGGAAGGGATAATATTAAAATATGTAATATAGAATAACATTGAAATACTCATTTCATCTTTAATCAAATTATCCGCTAAATGTAGAGCAAATTTATTTTAAATACCTACAAATTCACACACATTACATCGTCTGTTTATGTGCATATTCTCCGATAATGAATTCATGTTTCGCGATAACCGCGAAAATGAAGGCTTTTTCTTTCCGCATAGTCGACGTGCGATAAGCATATAAGGTGTCCATAAAATACACGGTTAAATTTTAAAAATGTATCAAGGATAGTCAAATCTAATTAAACGATATTTGTTTTATTCTTTTTTCCGCACAGTCTGTACTTTTGTAATATAGATAACTAGAATTCATTGAATCCACTTTAACATTTTTATAATACACAAATAACATCTTTTAAAAATTTAATACGAAAATATTTAGTATTCTCCTTCTTCTGGATATTAATTAATATTATATCAACGACGAGAAATAGTAGCTTTTGCATTCATGGAACATTCATTCCTTCGTTCCTGCTTACCAGATAAGAATTAATAAAACATCTTTATGCAACGTGTTTCGCAGGAACTTCCCTTATCTACTCGACTTTCACAAGGCTTCCACATTGTAGAAATTTGATTATGTTTGTTTTATGAACATCCTACGCGTTGCGCGTCGCGACACGGGCCTCTTTTAATTTCAGTCCCGCTATTTATCGACGTCCTTATCGGGGTGTAGTATTTAGTTTTGCGCCGGGTGATGATAAAACGGCGAGTCGGCCGATGCAATCGTTTGATGTCTCGTCGAGCTGTCTCCGGCCGAAATGTAAAAACGCAAGCGGCGGCGCGAGCGAGAGACAGGAACGTCAATTTCGGTAGTTGGAGCGCGGCCAGAGTTGTGTGTCATGGGATCGATCGAAGATGCTCTTGGCAACTGGAAGCGGCGCTGGAGAGAGAGAGAGAGAGAGGGAGGCGTCTCGACGCCATCCCAATCTTTTTCCCACTTCCACGCGCGCGTCGCGGTAAGCTCCCGAACAGCTTCCGACGAAATTCAAGATTACTTACTCGCCTCTCAGCATCGTGCGCGCGCGCGTCAGACAGACTGTACCGTTCCGATATTATATCCTGCTTATTACGCTTATCACAAGTTTAATTAAGTCAGAGAACAAAGGAACAAATATATAACATATTTAACGGTAGCTACTTAAACATGCGATGGAATAGAATGCAAGATGCCGCCTTCCTTTGAAGAAATTTAAAATGTTGTTTCGCGGAAAAGTTTTTTCGTGCGATCGAAATCTAATTACGGTTTAATTAGACGAGATAATGTTATCAGATGAGAAGTGTGCCGTATACACGTACCGTGCGGTGCTCATTTAATCCTTGTCACGTAATAGCCATGATATATTCATTCGCGCGCGGGATTATCGTAATCGAATATCAACGTGCGTAACAGGATAGCGTAGCTACTTACCACCCTCGATAGAGATTGCGTTGGTGGTGGTGTCACCGCCCTTGATCTGCACGTTTCCACGATACCAAATGATCGAGGCGGCCGGTTTGGCCGATCTGACGATGCATTCCAAGCGCCGTGATTCGCCCACCTTCACCTCGATTTCCCTATTGTTTGGATGACTGCTGATTTCCACCTTTCGCGGAGGCGCTGAAAGCGGAAAATGTCACGAAACATTATACTGGCATTTTTAATTAAAACAATTTTTATTCATAAAGAAGCGTAAAACGTTGAAACGCAAGTCAAACAAGAAGGAACAAACATGTATTATAATATTTTCAACCGTGGTTTGAGTATCAAATTGTTTGCTTTGAATATCATATTAATGCGACAGAAGAGCGGAAGTCTGAAGTCTCTTTTCCGAAGAAATTTTAAACACTTCTTTTTCAATAAAATTTTTTGTGGAATCGAAAAATAATTTATAAAGATCAAGATAACATTATTTTAATTAGTTCTTTTTTATTATAGAAGTATAATAATTTCAAAGTATAAAATGGATTTTTTAGCTCGATATATAACAGAGCATTTGGAATTTATATTGGGTATTACATATGCTAATATTCTAATTTGCAGTCGATTCTCCTTTAATGAAACGGAAGCGAAGTCGTAGAGTCGTCGTTTCTTATAATCTTTCAATATTCGATATTAAATATCGCAGTAAATGAATTTAAATTAAGACTCTATTTAAGTTCACTGAAAGTTAATTAAGGAATAAGATCCTTTTACTACTACATGCCTTGAATCTTGTTTCGCGGAAAAGTACATTTTCGCTCACGTGAAAATTGCACTTTGACATTTTTCATATACATGCGTTCTGAACTTTTAAATTATCTAATTCTAGATTAAAATTTTTTGCTATTGCTGCTTGACCTCAGCGCGCAGTAATCACGTGTCATTAGTTATGCGCGGTTGTATTGGATTAAGTATGCTGTAGGAAGCGATTCTAAACGAATCCATATATGCGCTGTGCACCGTTAAATCGCTTCGAACAAATCGCGCATATCGTATACATAGATTTTCGGACAGTGGGTGATAAACGACGCAATCTGCTGATTTCGGACGATCCGCGTGCGCTCTTGTTTTATAGTGCCCGGTTTTCGTGCGCCAATCTCTCTTCACATCCGCGAGTTAATTTAATGTCAGAATAGCGTGCGCGCGATTTATTGCCGGATTCTATTAAGCGCATATAGAAAATCGTGCCCGTTCGTCAGCGCAATAATTATATACGGGGTGTGGCTCTGTACGTAAATGCGTAATCGCATTTAATCTGATCGAATTGCTTCCACTTACGCTCAATGAAGAACGTGACTATCAGAAAATGCATATAGATTCAGTGAGACGAAAAGATTATGAACGATAATAACGTCATAAAAAAGATGTACGGCAATAAAGCTTTGATTTAAATTGTGACTAAAGATAGACGTAAAATATTAAAAGAAAGACATATGTTTATTGTTTTCTTTTCATGTATAAAGCAAACGTTTTGATATACCGTACGTGTTATATAATTTTCGAATAAAAATCAGCAAGTGTTGCGAGTTTGTTTGAATTGTGATTACATAAGGTTTGATGGAGTGAGCTTGGAAAAGTTGATGGAAAGCGAAAGAATTCATGCGACTGTCACACGATGGATCTACTGATTTGAATTTACTGATTTACTCTATTGACCCGTATTTTTGCCGACAATATATCTTTTTCTCGATTTATTATGAATCTATTACAAAATTGGAAAGCTGCTACTGAAGTATTATCGAGGGCTACTTGTGTATCTATTCAGTTATTCACATTCGATCGATCGACAATGTATCAATTCGCTATTGACACAGCTGAATACAATGTGTACTTCGTACAACATACATCAGATAAATAAAATCTGCATTACGTACCAGCCGCTATTTCAATAGAACTTCATATTTTCTGTTAATAACATTTTATTCGGCGCCGTGCACATAATATCACGTTCACGTTCTCCAAAAACACGCACAATAATTTTCTAATTTTTTAAGATATCATACATACGTTTTCAAAATACTCTACGCATTATATATATTCGCAGTAATTATAAACGTCTAACGAGTAAAAAATTGACGATAATTTAATTGCTGGAAATTAGCAAGAATTTTTAATTCCCGGAAAATTGGCGTAAATCTCATCGGTAGGAGTTGACAGAAGTTTAATTGGTAAAAATCGACGAACAGAACAGGATCAGTATTAAACGTACTGTTTTGTTCGCCCGTTCCTTTCCGGCACGAAGAATTTCGCGCGTGTTTTTGCAAGACGACAAGAATGTTGTTTGCTCTCTTTCTGAAAAATTTGTTCGAATAATGCGGTCGTTTGTATAAAGGAAGAGAAGACCGTCGATCGAAGGCCAAACACATTTACGCGCGAGCAGTTCCATTTTTACGGCACGCTTCGCGTAAGAGACACTTTACGCAACCGAACGACAGCGACGACGAGAGGAAAAGGGCGCTTATGCTGGTTATTCAGCCGCACTACTGTCTGCCTTTTCGAGTTTATATTGGCAGTCGCTCGGAAATCCTCCTGGGGATGCACGCGCCGAGGAGGAGCTACCACCACGCTATCCGGAAGCTACTTCGTCACCGCGGACCCCTGATACACAGCGCGCTGGCCGACGCATCGCCGATCGGCGATGCGCGCCCCGGTCGGGACCCATTACCGCTCCGAGATAAATTTTCCCACTTCGATATCCCCGCCGGGCGCATTCGACGGGGTCGCGTACGTCTTCGGACGCGGAGAGTGTGTTCCGCAACGATGCACCGGCGCCGATATAAAGCGCGCGGTGGATGCACCCGCAGAGACAAATGCAGTAGGTAATGGTCGTTACGCGTGCGTTTCCTGACGGCGGTAACTGCGAACATTGTCACAGTAGTTGTCTCTTTCTCTCTCTCTCTCTCTCTCTCTCTCTCTCTCTCTCTCTCTCTCTCTCTCTCTCTCTCTCTCCATACCTTATTGTTTGCTGGGAGAAATTGCTTTCGATACTGCTTTCGACACTTAAACGCACCGTGTATTGTGTCTCACATGTTTTCCGTACATGAACCTCGATGCTTTCTCAGGAACGCTCATAATTTCACCGCTGACAATAAGGATTATTGATTTATCGATGCTCAGTGAGAATAAAATAACAAAAAGTAGGTCATTATTTTTATCTAACATTTTGTGTTATATAAAATATATACATATGCGATTATCTTTTAAAATATCTATGCGAGAAATCAGATTTTGCTTAATATAAAAGTGTACATAAGAAATTCTTAATATAAAAAGTAAATAACTGTTAGATTACTTCAATTTTTCAAAAATGTCTTAATTTTATTTTTATTTATTTATATCTATTGCATTTTTTTCTGAATATACAATTTATAAAAAAAATCAATATATTTCAAAAGAAAATCTTTTAATGAGAAGATAAAGAAATGATCACAGTAATAACAATCATTTATTTATGAATATCTGTGTTTTAAATGTTACACGATAATATTTTGTCAAGCTAAATGTCACGGACTTAGAATTATTTTCTCGGAGTATGTCGAATATTTTGTATAAACAGTCTATTTATATCTTCTATTTTTATTTACATTTTTTAATTCTTTCTGCAAGAGAAATATTTTTCACTTATATATATGTATTCTATAATTGTCTTTTCAGCGACAAAATTCTATGATAAACTTCGCGTCGTCGAGTTTATGGGCAGTTTTTAATTTTTCAATGTTGCGTATCTTGTAATTAAGATTATCCTATAATTGTTAGAACCCTGATTGGAATAGGAGAGAAGCAATTACTGTTGATATGCGGAATAAGATTCTATTATCCATAATAGGAAGAGCCGAATTAAATTCAAATTACAGTGTTGGCGAGAACGCGGTAGTTAATACCTTGCTCTTAATACCCTTCTTTATTTTCGATATAAACCGGTCTAGGAAAATCTGCATCGCTAATGCAGCGTAAACGCTAATTTTTACCAAGATTTCGTCATTTTCTGATAAAAACACTACAAATATTTACTTTTAATTGAAGTTTATGGCGTAAAGCGAGAGATACTTATCGATAAGTATCAGCTGACAATTATTGACATCAATACGGTAATTGCAAATCGTTTATGTCACCGTCGGCGCGAACTGCGAATCATCTTTGAAACGGCCGTCTATATTGGCGTTCCAGAAATTCTTGCCTCATGTCATAAGTGATCTTTTATAGATCCGGTTCTTATATCGGACGTTAGAAAAGCGCTGCACGTTAAAATATGCAATTAAGCGTATCTTACGAATTACGATCAAAATATATAGCACAGGGACATAAATCTGTAATCTTTTTAACGTAAAAATTTAGCGTAAAAATAGAACTTGAACTCTTATGCAAAACCACTTTGATATAAACAACGTATGTGTAACTGTGTGTATCGCATCGACAACAATATATATTATATTTAATTTAAGCTGCGCGCAAACGTAATGTCGAATACGATGTTACCAGCAGCCGCAGCTGATAAAATTGTATTGTCAGTTTTTTCTATTCTGCGACGATTTGCCGGATATTTCCGTTATAAAATTGAGAATATAAAACTACACTGCAACAAATCGGATACAACAAAAAGCGGGGCTTAACAAAATATTTAAACATATTTTACATAATGATCGTCGGACATAGATTTTCGAAATAATATTTAATTCAAGATTCAAGATTCACGTTAAGGATTTAAGCGCTGAAACAAATACAAAATTTTTTCATTTTTCAATACTACTGTTGCCGCACGGAACAAATATTCTAGAACATTTTAAACATTTTAAATAAATTTATAGAGGGAGAATTATCCCGCAATACTTTTCCGCTTCCACTTCAATTCGTCTGAATCGCTTAAAGTGATGTATAAAATAGCAATCGAGGACAATGCGCAGAATAAAGATGCCAAATGGGGTTGCGAAGCAGAGAGACAAATGGGGACTTCGTCTCCCGATAACATCGTCGTTACAAGACGCAGGGGCCCGGAAAGACGGCGTCAATTATTCGCTAAATGCTTATTTAGGCGCCGTTGCCGGTCCCTCCATTTCATTCGCGTTTCTCTCATCCGGTTTTCCTGCAGGACAGCGACATCCGTCTCGGTTCTTATCGCCTCCTGGGAGAAGCGGCAGTTG